GACGAATGCAACACTCTCTGCGGTGACTCTAGAAAGTGGTGAAGCCTGATGGGTTGGGATGAGTCTTTTTTAGCCTCTGTAGGAAGTGCAGGTGCTGGTGAGCTTTGACACTGGAGGAGGTTGTCGGTCACATGCACCCCCAGGAACCTTGTGCTGTTCAATCTACACAGCAACAATTTGAGAAGTAGTTGTGGAATTTCTTTTATAATAAGTAGTTTGATTAAATAATGGTCTAAAGCTGCAGTCTCCTCAGTCATCATTGTCAGTGATAATTAACAAAAGTGCCATCACCTGTGAACACAGGCTGGACTCACCTGAGGAGGTTTTGCTACTCAGGTGAGAGCCTTTGTAAAGTTATATATAGCAGCATTTCCCAAATGTTGTGCACATCAATTAGAATTGTAAAAACATCTACCTTTTGCTATTATATGAATTCTGCAGCCAGATGGCTTCCAGGTTTGTCCAAAGAAAAGTCGACAGACAGGAGTACTCAGGTAATGACATCCTCTTTCACTTGAAAGAACATTATCTAAGCTTCCAGACCACAGATTTTTAAAAAAAGACATATTTGTATTCATATTTCACCTTATCTCCACCTACTTGCTTTTTCGTGTTTCTCCTGCAGACTCTCATCTGTTTAGGGATCCCAGTCGCAACCCTCTAAATGCGCACCCCCACAGCGCCTCCTGGTGGGCTGATAGGGAGGAACAAGGAGACTCACTGAGGGTGTGTTACAATAAATTTAAGAGCACAGATTTGTGTTTCAGATTAAGGAGACAAGGTGAACTCTTTCCCTCTAGGAGCAGCTAAAAGAGATGGATGAGCATGTGGCCAGGCTTCAGGACATGCTGAGATGCGAGCGGGTCAAAGTAAGATGAAAGCATGTGTGAGGGTTTTCTAAATGAATGCCTTCATATTCATTTCCAATTCCTAAAGTATATCTCTCCACTTGTCAGTGCGGCCATCTGCAGCTCCAATGTAACCAGCAGGAAGCGGAGCTGCGACGGCAAGAACTGCAGGCCAACAGACTGAAGGAGCGACTGTCACAGATGACTGACAGACATAGAGAGAAAGGACCAGGTGAGATTAACCCCAGCAGTTTGCTTACCTCTTAAATATTTCTCACATCCTGTAACTTTCAACCCGTTATATTTTTCTATCCAGCCATAGAGGTGCTAAACTTTCCACCTGGAAGCAGGGGCAAAAAAGAACAGCCAGTTAAATCATTCAGATCTACTGCGAAGTACGTTAGCTGGTTACTTTCATGCATTTTCTGATCTTGGACTCTCACCAAATTGCTCTTCCTAATCTTGACTTGCTCTCTCCAACTCGTAGACGAGAAGAGGCAGCACTGCGTCTGATGCTGGAGCGAAGAGAAGCAGAGCTCAGGGAGGCGATGAAGCTGCGTCACAG